GGATTTTTACCAAAACCTAATCAAATCTGCGCATTGGCCCAGAGCATCTATGCACCAAGTTTCATCAAAAACTGATGTATGATTCTTGAGATATCAGTGGAACAGACGGACACACACACACACACACACACACACACACACACACACACATACATACAGACACAAAAAAGGGAGTCTTTGCAGTTAGTGTATCTAACTGCAAAGACTCCCTTTTTGTGCTTCGCACACGGGAGTCAAAAATCTCACTTCTCAATTGTAAATTTCCCTCCTCCAAAAAGTACCAGGACGTTTGACCTTTAAAGGTCATGTATAAAATTAACTTACATTTATAAAGCAATATAAAAACAATAGCTAACAAAATTAGTAAATGAGATTAACGTTAAAGCTTATTTAAAAAGTAACATATTTTTATTTAAATATATTATAATATAATATAATTTTATCTAATTAAGTGTAACTTATCCGATTATTGTAAGCTGGTGAGAAATGTGTGGCCTCTCCTGTAGTATGTTCATCAGGTTCTATTGCAAATTAAATAAATATGTATACTGGTATATATTGAAGCTATCCTGTTAGTAATCACAGATTTGATTAGAACAGCGTTGCATGAATCAATTTCATACACAAGCAAAAAAAAAATGTATCTGTTGCTTGGCAGTGTGAGCTGTTCACACTATTTTTTTCCTGGTTTCCGCAAAAAAATTGTAAAAAAAAAAAACGAAAAAAAAAAAAAGGATAAAAATGCCGCTCACAACACCATTATTTTTCTCTATACCTTAAACAATTCTGTTTATTTTAGTCTTATGGTGACCTGGGTTATATAATTCAACATAATTAATTATCTTACTGTGAATTTTAATTGCAACGTCCTGCTGTCACTAAATGTGATACAGGCAATCACACTAGTGCAACCCAACAGATCATCTCTCCAATCACATGTGGAAACGTTAAGCGTATCAGCTTTTACATTCTTTGCATCTTCCATCTCATTTCTCTACTCCAATTTTTTAAATCGATGTTTAGTTTTGTATAGATACAAAGAGTCTTCAATGATGTAACTGGAAATGAGAAAAAAAATACAAAATAAATGAATTATATTACCTAAAACTTGAAGCTTTATTCATTAATTAACATTTGTGAATTAATATTTGTTAAATTAAACATGATCATCATGATAAAGAACTTTTAATATGGGTCACATATGAGGTATACCAACGTATAAATTTGTAGTTCAAATGCATTGTTCATTTCCACAAAATTGACATGCTTCAGGGGATGTCAAGTTTAATTTTGGCAAAGGTGTTATGGTATGTATATTATGGTAGATTGTATTCAAATCTGGATAATAGTTTTTTTTTATTTTCAGCATTACGATGTTGGAGTTGATAATCCTATCTCAAATAAATTTTTCCACCATATCAGGCAAGTCCCCGGCTGCCTCAATGCTAACCTGTCATGTAGTTGCAGCTTCCGCTGCCTCTACCAGTAATTGCAGCTTCCGCTGCCTTTACCAGTAACACATAACATCACGCAGTTTCAGCTTTCGCTGCCTCTGCAAATAACACAACCAGTAGGTACAGCTTCCGCGATATCCTACCCCTCAATTCGTACTAATGACTAACCTATTAACCTGCAGCTACTGCTGCACTAACCAGTTTATCTTTTATTATTGTTTGTATTTTTTATAGTCTTTATTACAGAGTTTTACTTTACAGTGTTTTGTTACATTTGTATTTTCATTTACTCAGCCAGCAACAATTTGGTGTTGCTCAGTTTTATCATTTACAAGGTATGTTACTTTTCCTACCAGTAGCTGGTGAAAGCTACTACTTTCACGTTTGAGAGCCTGCTGGGAAATCTGATCTAAGCTATGTATTTTGACTGATCCCAGCAGCGGGCTCCCCTGTTGTTTGCCAAATAAAGTACCTTTACCAATTTTATATGTTGTGTCATAAAAAAGTCTTCAGCGAAAATAAATTCCAGCTACAATAAAGTATTTTACAGTATAGAAAAACATAAGAAGATGACTACATTGTAGTATACCTACCTGTACAACCATATCGCCGGCAGCACTGTACTGAGATGCCACACAGCATGAGCATCAAATATCCAGAAAAATGGTGAGAAGTCCAGTAGCTCCAAAGTACATAGAACATTGACAGAAACCGTGGCAACCAATGCTTTTTTTATACCACCATGGAGATCCCAGTTACTGGAAGCCCATTTTATCATCCAGAAGGAATTCACTAATCCTGAAAAAGTAAGAAATGCATGATTTAGAAAGACTTCTCACCAGTGTTTTTGTTTATTAGTCTCTGACAATTACTTTTACTATTCCGGACACAGTGGGGGTGTTATTCAGTTTAGAATCAATCTCCCTTGACATTGTTATTAATAGTATCCCGACAAGGAGTCATTTGAGTAGTGAATGCTGTTTGTCCCAATTATCCCCCACTGATAGTCAACAGCTTCATTTTTTCTCAGAGCTATGTGCAACTAATTTCAAACAAGCGGCGCAAACAGTTTGAAAAAAAAGCAAAACAGAAACTACTTAGAGTAGTAGGATGACACTCGATTCACCACAGCCAATTGTACAGCTGTTAACTAAGCGGAGAAAATTGAGAACTAAAGTCACTTCTGGTATTACCTAGAAGAAAGCTTAGAAAGAACTCTTGTGTACGTGCTTAGAGTAATGAAGGCACAATACAAATATACTAAAATTAGGTAATTTGAACAGATACACATACCACACACAAACAAACAAAAAACAGGGTAACTTGCAAAGATTGTCATTTTGTGCGTGGCACAGGGGAGTAAAAAATGTCTAGGAGAATGATTCTATGGCGAATAACACCCCATTTTTGTTGTTGTTTAAGTTAGACATATCTAACTACACTGTGGTAGTAAATGGCTAGTGATGATGTAAACATATCTCCTGTTATTATAGTAGCCATGCTTTTCAAATCTTTTTTACATTTGTCATCTGTTGAGAGACTGAGCAAACTACAATGGGTGCTAGCTTGTGGGAAAATAAAGCTGACACTCTTTTATAGGATTTAGTTTGAAGCAAGTTAGGAAATGTAACACAGTAGTAAACTTATTCATGATTATTGGGTGCCAGCTGGACAGTACCAGGAAGGTGGGTTAATCTAGGTAAATGAGTGATTACGTTCAGCACATTATAATGTATTCATGTCAGGTTATTGAATTGACCGTTAACTGCATGACAAGTTACATTTAACTCCAGCAGTTTGTATAATACCAGACAGTAACTTGCTGGTAGAGTTTACATGTACTTTCTTCTATCGATAATTATATTGTTCCTGATTATAAACTGTATTATTATACATCTGTCATCAGAACGCCATAAGTTAGAGCGTGCCGTAATTTTACAAATTACAAATGTGGAACGATTCCGTGCGTAAGCGTTCTCTAATAATAAAAACAAACATGGCTGCCACCAGGGTTTGACCGGACTCCACACAAAGAAGTTCCTGAGAAACCTGAGAAACCCATGGGTGAACCATGACTTACCAAACAATTGTAATTTACTCTACTTTGCATTAACTTTGTACATTTAAATCTTAACAGAAAACAGACACCTGTTTACACTACATGGATGCAAACAAGAAACACCACATTATCTTGAACTCAGGTGACATGACCTGTGTTGACACTTACCAGCAATAACACTCGCCTTCATATTGTAACCATAATCGAATGTGACAAACGTGAGATAACTAACATGTAGCGAAAAAAGAATCAGCAATAGTATGGCAAAACCAATAGCTACTTCTCGTCTACAGGTGCTTTTGTGATAACAAAGACTCCTGAGAAGGAATATTATCGTATAGTTAAGCATAAATCGCTATAATATTAGTAAACTGACGTACACTACAAATGTGGAATATGCATACCAAAAGGTTTTCCCGATTGCGATTTTTATGCATCAGTTTGCTCGATTTTATGTACTTTTCTTCAATTATTTAGATCAAATAGGCAAAACGTTTGTTTGGCTATTGAGGTTGATCAACATTTTGGTAAAAAAAAATACACTTTTTTTTGTGTGACAAAATATAAAATTTGGCACTAGAAGGGTTCATGACCTCAGTGACAAAATTGGCCAGCACTTGTTTGTTATAACTTGGTCACATTATGATAGAAGTGGTAATTGGCCTACCTGATACCTAGTGCATATATGGTCATTAATAGCAATGCTGCAGCACTGAAATAATCCATTCGCTATCAAAAAAAACAAACAAATAATTTAATACACACATATAATTGAAACACAGCATATCTAAGGGACGACGTCAAAAGATCGATGTCAGATAAAAAAAACTTATTTGCTTTAGTTTGGGGGGGGGGGGTTGACCTCAAAAAGTTTCCATCCTACAAAAACGATTTTATTTTTTAGTGAAGTTAAAAAAATCTTGGAGACTTTGTAGTTTGTTTTTTTTCTATCGAATCATAGAAAAAATAACAGAAAATGAAAAAAACAAAACATCCAAGACGAGAAAATGGTTTGGCCCGAGTGTAAATATGTGTGTCAAATGAGGTCAATTTCAGGGCATGGACCTAGAGCATGCGCAGAACCCAGAAAAGTAGTTTGCGCATACGTATATTCCCCTTCATTACTACAACCAACTGCTATATGCCATACTACTGTCCGATTCAATTTGTATTTAATGGTGAATGTAGTCTGTCACCATGATCAATATTTATCAATTAAGTTTCAGTGGGGGGGGGGGGGGTAAAGGAATTATGTTTTTTATCCGACATCGATATTTTGACGTTGTCCCTAACATATGCTGTACATTCAGATAAGATAATTCTCTATTACACCATATGCAGAAGTTATACACTTCTATTTTGGTATTTAGAATGTATATATGATATTTATATATTATTTTAATTCATATTAATATTGCTGGATCTATGGAACATGTACACCTAAGTTGCCATAGACAACATCTAAGCCCTGGAACATGTATGTATACTCTGCATCGACCAATACAGACAACATCTAAGCCCTGGAACATGTATGCTCTGCATTTAGCCAAACAGACAAAATCTAAGCCCTACCCTGAGCCATAAAGACAACATCTAAGCCCTGGAACATGAATTCTCAGCATTAAGTCATACAGACAACACCCAAGTGGCCTTGGAACTTGTATGCTCTGTACTTATAGCCATACAGACCAACATCTAAGCCCTGGAACATGTACATGTATGCTCTGCATTGAGCCATACAGACAACATCAAAGCCCTGGAACATGTATACTCTGCATTGAGCCATACAGACAACATCAAAGCCCTGGAACATGTATGCTCTGCATTGAGCCATA